ATCAGGTTTTTTTTTTTTTTTTTTTTTTTAACAGTACTTGAAGTACTTGGGGTTGAACCCAGGGGCACTCTACCACTGAGTTACACCGCCAGCCCTTTTAACTTTTAAATTTATTCATATATTATGATACTAGTGACGGAACCCAGGGGCTTTGTGCTGAACTACATCTCCAGTTATTTTCCTTATTTTAATTTATTTTATTTTGATACAGGGTCTCACTAAGCCACTAAGTTGCCAAAATTGGGCTCAAACTTGCAATCCTTTCTGCTTCAGTCTTCCAGAGTTCTACGATTATAGGCTTGTGCCACATGCCTGGCTGGTGTTTTGTTTTGTTTTGTTTTTTACTTATTTTTTCATTGCTTAGATTGGCTTCAAACTTGTAATCTTCCTGCCTTTGCCTCCCCAGTAGCCAGAATTACAGGTGTGTACCAGTGCCCAGCTTCACCATATTCTTAAGGCTCTCTGACTCCTGTCTCACTGGGTTAAGGATAACTGGTGTCATGTCTGCTCTGTTCTCCATAGCCCCCCATCTGCTGTGTGATTTGCCTGGGTCCTCATATCCCTCCCCTTAGGCTCATAAACTTGGCTGGGGGGAGTTGTTTTTTGTTTTTGTGGGTTTTTTTGGGGGGGTCTCACTATCCAGCCCAGGCTGGTCTCAAACTCTCCTGAGCTCCACCCAGCCTTCCGAGTACCTGGGAACTATGGGCGTGGGCCACCACTCCAACCTCCTTCTTTCTTCTTGGCCTTTCAAGTGTGGTGGCAATGGATAAGGGATCTGGAGCTGTCCACCAAGCCTGGGATTCCCTGTGCTCTGCTTCCCAGCGGTGTCAGGGGGCAATGCTATGGCTTGGAGGGGGAAGAGAGAGGGGAGGAGGTGAGAGAGTAGTAAAGCACACTTCTGGGTGTGTCTCAGGGTGTATCTGGGGATTATTAACACATGGGAAAATAAACTGGAGGAAACCTGCCGGAACATGGGTTGCACCATCCAATAGGTGAGACAAAAGCAGAAGGTGGGCCATCACTGCGGCCTGGCTATTTCTTACCCTCCCTGTTTCCTGGTCACTTGCTGTTGCAGTAAGCAGCTTTCTTCCATTACCTGCTTCAGGCAGGAAGTTTCTGCCTCACCACAGGCCTGAAGTAATAGGGCCAGCTGACCATGGACTGAAACCTCTGAACTCATGAATCAAAATAAACCTTTCTACCCCTAAATTGTTTTTCTCAGGCATTTGGTCACAGCAACAAAAACTAACACAACATCTTAACCATTTTTAAAAATACAGTTCAGGCAAAAATAAAAAATACAGTTCAGTAGTGTTAAATACATACACACTGTTGTAAAACAAATCTCCAGAAATCCTCGTCTTGCAAATCTAAAATTCTGTGCCTACTAAATACTAAATCTCCATTCCCCAAACCTTTAGTCTCTGCTAACTGCCACTGTACTTTCTATCTCCATGAATGTGCCCATTCTGCACATCCTGTTTAATTAGGATGATACAGTATTTGTCTTTTCCCAGACTGGCTTATTTCATTTAGCATAATGTCCTCAAAGTTCATTCATGGTGTAGTATATGTCTGAATTTACCTTTCTTTTAAGGCTTGTGTAATATTCTATTGTATGAATATGGCACATTTTATTTATTCATCCATCCATGAATATATGGCTTTCTTTCACCTCTTGGGTTATTCTAAATTATGCTGCCAAGAATATGGGTATGCACATATCCCTTTAAAATCCTGTTTTCAATTCTTTTGGGCTTAATATTCCCAGATGTAGCATTTTTGGATCATATAGTAGTTCTATTTTTAAGGTTTTTTTGTTTTGTTGTGTTTTGTTTTAAGACAGGGTCTTGCTATATAGTTCGGGCTGGCCTTGAACTCTTTATGTAGCCCAGACTGGCAATCCTCTTGCCTCAGTCTCCCGAATGCTGGGATTACAGCCATTCCCACCATACCTGCCTTGTTTACTGTTTTTAAAGGCTCTGTTGGAGTGATCATATGTTTCTTCGGTCATCCAAGGTCAATGCCAGTTTCTGGGTAACCACACTGTGATGTAAGGAATTATTTCTCCATAGCATAGGTGATCTAGGGAGATTTCAGCTGGGGTACTTGACCTTCTCGCCATGGAGGGTCCTTGACCTACACTAGGTGAATGCAGTTATTTTCTTGTTCTGGAGCTTCATGCCTGGGCTAGATTTGGACCAGGATGAGTGGAGGAGCAGGAGCTTATGTATACGGTGCCAGTCCTGTCAAGAGAGGCAAGCAAGACCCATTCCCCACCTCTTGGGAGCTGCTTTGGTCCCTCCTCTCTCCTGAGCTATGGTCTGCAGCCTCCTTTCAAGGCAGCCAGTACCCTTTTAAATCCTCTTCTAGTGCAGTAAGCCCAAGTTCACCTGTGAGGACCTTGTGGACGCTGTGCTGACCAGCAGGCTCCTCTGGGAATGAGGGTTGCATTCTCCCTGCCTTCTCTAGGAAGGTCTATCTGTGCACTCTGCCAGTGGCTGTTCTAGCTTTGGGTGCATTGCAAATTTCTTTTCATTTTTTTTCAATTCTCTATTATTTTGATAAGGTTTAAGGAAGAAATAGTCACGGCTGGCAAATAGTCACGGCTCAAACAACTTGTCACAAAGTTCATGTTGATGATGATAGGGAGACAAATCAATGTTGTTTTTTTGTTTTGTTTTCTTGGTACCGGAGATAGAACTCAGGTCCTTGTGCTTGCGAGGTGGGAGGAGGAACCACTGAGCTAAATCCCCGGCCTGGGAGACAAATCAGTGTTGTATAACATTCACAGCAGTGTTCTCCTTTTCCTTCGGCCTTGGTGATTTTGGTTAGGACTCATGCATATGTTCTGTATGACTTCTCAAACAAATGTGTCATACCTGGGCTCACCAAAGGTGCACACCTCTTTTAAGTGAAGTGATAAAGTCAGCAAAGGATTTGATTCCCTTTCACATGCCTACTCTTGTTTGCAAGCTTTATAGTCTGTATAGACTTCTAGATCTCACTTGCTTTAAAAAATAATCAACATTATGCTTCTAAGATTTAGTTATAGTATAGATTGAGCATACTTAATTCAAAAATCTGAAGCCCAAAATGCTCCAAAATCTGAATTTTTGGGGTGGGCCTCACACTCTACCACCAAGCTGCATCCCCAGTGTCCCAATGCTAAAACATTGGGGTCACCAGTAGAAAACCCTGTATCTGCCCTCTTCTAACAGTCAAAATGCAGCTGCATTAATTTTATATTGTAAAAAATTACCTTTAGTGTGTAAGGTGCATATGAAGGGAAAATGAATCTTGTGTTTGAACTTTGGCCCCATCCCCAAGATATCTCATTATATACATAAAAACAGACCCAAGGATCAGTGGAACAAATTAGAAGATACAGAAACAACTCTAGACATACTGAACTACCTCATCTTTGACAAAGGAGCCAAGCGCCCTCACTGTAGGAAAGACAGCCTCTTTAATAAATGGTGTTGGAAAAACTGGCTTTCAACGTGCCAAAGATTAAAACTAGACCCGTATCTTTCACTATGTACTAAACTAAATTCTGAGTGGATTAAAGATCTAAATATTAAAACAGAAACGCTAAACTTGCTGGAAGGTAAGGTCGGTAGAACTCTTGAAGATATTGGCATAGGAAAACATTTTATGAACAAATCCTCAGTAGCACAGGAACTAGCACAAAGAATCAACAACCAAGATCTCATCTTTTTAAAGAATTTCTGCACTGCCAGAGAAACAAGCAGAGCTAAGAGACAATCCACAATGTGGGAAAAAATTTTACCAGCTGTTCCTCAGACAAAGGTCTACTATCTAGAATATAAAAAGAACTCAAAAAAAATCAGATCCCCCAAATTAAAAATTGGGCAGACATTTCTCAGACAGAGAAGTAAAAGCAGCAAATAAACATGGAAAAAAAAATGTTCAACATCTCTGGTCATCCAAGAGATGCACATGAAAACAACACAGAGATTCCATCTCAATCCACAAAGAATGGCTGCTAGCAAGAAATCAACCAATAACAAATGCTGGCAGGGTTTTGGGGAGAAAAGAACCCTTCTTCATTGTTAGTGGAAGTGCTGACTGGTGCAACCACTGTGGAAATCGATATGAAGATACCTCAAAAAACTAGGATTAGAAGTCCCATTTGACTCAACTGTTCTTCTGCTGGGTATCTTCCCAAAAGAATTTTTAAAATCATACCACAGTGCTGTTTATAGCAGCACAGTTTGTAATAGCTAAAATGTGGAAACAGCCCAATTGTCCATCAACTGGAAACTGCATAAAAAAGATGTGTGTGTGTGTGTTTATATAAAATGGAGTATTACTCAGCCATAAAGAACCAGAAACTAGAGGTATTTATAGCTAAATGGATGCACACTGAAACTATACTCAAGTGAAATTAATATGTCACACATCTGTAAATACTGAATAGTTTCTCTGGTGTGAAAAACAAGTGTAAATTGAGACGAAATGTTTACTTGATATTGTGTAATAGGAAGAAAAGGTCTAAAAGAGAAGAGGAAGTGGGAGGGGTAGGGGTGAA